ACGTGGTATCCTCGTTCAACATGAACACGATTAATCCACGGAGAGCAGAGCTCTCGATTTAGGGTTTTCACTAGCAATGTTCTTGGCAAGGTACAGACTGCGCAAGACTCTCTTGAGAGCTAGGGCAGCCGAGAAAGCAAAACACTTATACCCTTCGACGTAAGCTGCGGGTATAAGGCAAAAGTTCACAAAGGCAACAAATAAAACTAACAGTTACAAATGAGTCCCTCTAATACTCCCCCTCAAGCTGGAGCATGAAGGTCACGAATGCCCAGCTTGGATAAGAGCAAGCGAAACTGATCTGTGCCCAAAGCTTTAGTGAATACGTCGGCCAGCTGCAAATGAGTCCCGATCTTGCGTGGAGCAATCTCACGAGAAGCGACCCGTTCGCGTACAAAGTAGAAATCCATCTCAACGTGTTTCGTCCGCTCATGAAAAACGGGATTAGCTGCGATATGAAGAGCCGCCTGATTATCACAATGGAGAGCAGTCGGACCTGCTTGAGTAACCTGAAGCTCGCAAAGGAGAAAACAAAGCCAGAGGACTTCACTCGTGGTACTGGCCATGGCACGATACTCGGCCTCAGCAGAGGAGCGAGAGACAACTCGTTGTTTCTTGGCGCGCCATGATACCAGTGCTCCACCAAGATGAATATAATACCCAGTAGTCGAACGTCGGCTGAACTGACAGCCAGCCCAGTCTGCATCACAGTAAGCAGTCAACTCCAGATCACCGGCTGCAGGAAGAAACAAACCTTGACCAGGAGCTCCTTTAAGGTAGCGAAGAACACGAAAAGCAACATCCATGTGCGCAGGACTCGGAGAGTGGACAAACTGACTGAGGAGATTAACAGCATAAGATATGTCGGGACGGGTGATAGTGAGATACAGAAGGCGCCCAATGAGCCGACGATAGGAGCTCACATCACCAAGTCTTTCTGTGGTTGGTCGCGTAAGAGTGTGATTTTGCTCCATCGGGAAACCACTCGGGCGAGACGTTGCGACTCCTACATCATCGAGAATATCAAGCGTGTACTTACGCTGACTGAGAACAATGCCTTCAGAGGACCGGGCGACCTCGATGCCAAGAAAGTACTTCAGCAGACCCAAGTCTTTAATACTGAACCACTGGTGAAGAAATGATTTAACCCGATCAATGGTAATCGTGCTGTCGCCAGTGATCACAACATCATCTATATAGATGAGAACAGCCACAAAGACACCACGAGCCTGGTACAAGAAGAGAGAGTGGTTGGCCTTGGACACTTTGAAGCCGAATTCCAAGAGAGCTTCGGTGAACTTAGTGTACCAATTCCGAGACGCCTGCTTTAAACCGTACAAGGACTTCCGAAGGCGGCAAACACGATTGTCTCCAGGTTGAGCAAAACCTTGAGGAACCTTCATGTAGACCTCTTTTTCGAGATTGCCATGAAGGAAAGCATTGTTGACGTCCAACTGATGTAGAGGCCAATTACGCTTCGCAGCGACCGCCAACAAAACACGAACAGTGACCAGTTTGGCTACTGGTGCGAAGGTGTCATGGAAGTCTACACCTTCTAGCTGAGTAAATCCCTTGGCCACAAGTCTCGCCTTGTACCTCTCTACTGAACCGTCTGGCAAAAACTTGATCTTGTAAACCCATTTTGAGTCAATGGCCCGCTTCCCAGGAGGAAGATACTCTAATGTCTAGGTACCTTGTGCTTCCAGTGCAGTTATCTCTTGTTGCATAGCAGCTCGCCATTCAGCATACTTGGCGGCTTGAGGATAGTACGATGCTCGAACATTTGATCCATGACAGCGAGAAAAGCAGTATGACGGTCAGAAAATCGGTGATAATGCACAGAATGAGAAAGCGGGTAACGAACATTATGGGAACTGGTGTTAGGGAGATCTACCTCATAAGAATCAAGGCGATGAGGAGGTCGTCGATCGCGCGTTGGATTCCGACGTGGGACTATAGGAGGAGTGGCGTCCGACTCTATGGTTGGTACGATGGGCTCGTCGGCAACATCGCGAACTTGCTCTTCACTCTGAGTGGCATTGTGTGGCTCCGTGAATGATGAACTATCAGAGGGGGAAGAACTGCTGAGAGGAGAGGCGTCCGAGTCTAATAGTTCCGAGGAGTCAATAATGGCTGGAGAGGTCGAGGCCATGTTCTCATGAGGTGCCAGCACATCTTCAAGATCAACGTCACCTATGGAGTCAGCAGGTTCATCATCATGGTGCACTACATCACCCATTGGTGCATCCACGTCATGCATGGCTGGAAAGACCCATGCATATCATGAGGAAGCTGTGAGAGAGAGGGAATACCACTGTCGGCCGACTTGAGCTGAAAAGGAAAAATATTTTCCACAAAATGGACATCCCTTGACACAAATTTTCTTGGTTCGAAAATCATAAATGCGATACCCCTTTTGAGTGTCGGGATAGCCGATGAAAACGCCAGCTCTCCCCCTTTCAGCGAACTTATCCAGGCCGCGATGAGTGTCTTTAGCATAGGTGAGACACAAAAAACATCGGAGATGGGAATAAGTTGGCGATCGGCCAAGGAGAATCTCGAAGGGGGTCTTACCGGATAAGACAGGAGTGGGCAAACGATTGATCAAGTACGTGGCTGTGAGAATACACTCACCCCAAAAACGGACAGGAAGACCGACATGGAACATAAGAGCACGGGCTGTTTCTAGTAAGTGACGGTGTTTCCGTTCAACGATACCGTTCTGCTGCGGAGTATCCGTGCATGAAGTCTGCAAGAGGATGCCGTTCTCCTCATAATATGCCCGGAGAGTAAGGGTTTGAAATTCCAGGCCATTATCTGTTTGAATACGACGAACCTTCCGGTTGTACTGAGTACAGGCTAGCTCACAATGCATTTTGACATATCGCTCAACATCAGACTTGAATCTCAACAAATAAACCCAAGTAGAACGACTGTAGTCGTTAACAATAGTAAAAAAATAGCGAGAGCCATCAAAAGCTGATGTCTTATAGGCACCCCAAATATCCATGTGAAGCATGTCGAAACAACCAGTAGTCTTTATTGAACTAAGAGAGAATGGGAGGCGAGTTTGTTTAGCTTTCAAACAAGAATCACAATGTGAAGGATCCTGAGAAGTGACATCACAATCCAAAAACTCTCGTAAACTAGTAAGCTTGTCCAGGGAAGGGTGACCAAGCCTGTTGTGCCACAAGCTCGAAGAAATCCCGGATCGCTTCACCGTGCACGCTTGAAAAATAGAGGGCACACCATAGCGCGGCAAGTAGTATAACCCATCCTTAAGACGACCCACTCCAATCAGCATCCTGGAAGGTAAGACCTGAAGGATGCAGAAGTCATGTAAGAAAGTCACAACGACATTATGATCCTGTGCCAGCCTGCTAACTGACAAAAGGTTGCACTGAAAAGCCGGTACATGTAGAACTTTGGAAAGTCGAATAGAACTGGTAAAATTAAGAGAACCCATCCCGCGAACCGGAATACCCGACCCATCAGGAATGCGAACCTGTGACTGATCAAGACCCGTATCCAAAGAATCCAACCAACTAACGTCACGAACAATATGTTCGTTACATCCAGAGTCAAGCAACCACATATCAAGATCAGAGTAGTTACCCGGCATGTGTGCAGTCGACGTCGAGGAGGACTCGGAGGGGGTAGTGGTCAAAAAATCCTTTAGCTGCTGAAATTGGGCAGCCGACAGGCCTGGGATTGGAGACGCAACCTCGGGCTCGACGTGAGCAGCCTTGGGACGTCGTCGACTTGGGTTGGAGCGGTCCTCAGCTTGTTTGGCGCGTGGGTGCCCTGGGGGATAGCCCACCAGACGATAGCACTGATCACGCGTGTGTCCTGGTTTGTTGCAATTGGTGCAACGGATACAGTCACGTTCCTCCCGCTGGTCACGACCAATCTGGGTCTGAAAAGCAGCCGTTTCAACAACGGGGCGACGCTGGATGGTGATGTTGCGGTGTTGCTCTTCAGCCGCCACCATCTGGTAAGCATCAGCAAGTGTAGGGACAGGTTTAGTGCCCAGAATCTGCGAACGGACGACGAAGTAAGCATCGTCGAGGCCCATAAGGAACTCAAACAAATGCTCGGTGTCTTGCGTGGCGTGATAGTTCTGGATCCAGTTGCAAGAACACCCGCCGCAGGTACTACCATTGCAGGTGCAACGAGGCACGCCTCTTATCGAGTGCATCTCATCCCAAACAGCGCGCAAACTGGTGTAGAAGGCGGAAACAGATTGCTTCTCTTGACGAAACGTGCTGAGTTTGCGCCGTAACTCATAGGCGTGTTGGGCAGAGCCCTTGCTAAAACGACGTTGTAGGTCGGACCATATAGCCTGCGCCGTGGTAGCCGTGCGGACGCTGTTCCGAACTTCTTTCGTCATGGCGGTCTTCAACCAGCCCTTGACCGTGGCATCGCAACGATCCCACGCGGCACGACGAACAGCAGAGCCGACCTGAGCTCGTGGGAGGGAACCATCTACAAAGGCTCGTTTGTTCTTAGCAATCAAGGTCTCCGTGATGTCGTTCACCCATTCCCCATAGTTCGAATCATTGAGCAAGTCGCTGCCAAATAATTAAGCGGGGTCTTCCGAGGCATGGAGATAGAGAGGAGAATTCAGCGGGATGACGTCGTCCATAGGAGCTGCGTCTTTGCCCGAACCAGTCGTCTCTTCGTCCTTGGCCATGGTGAAGAAGGTAGACAATCGGGATCGCGATTATTGCTCTGATACCATAATAATTTTGATGAATGCGGAAAAGTAAAGAGACACGATGTTTACGTGGTATTCTGGTTCAACATGAACGAGACTAATCCACGGAGAGCAGAGCTCTCGATTTAGGGTTTTCACTAGCAATGTTCTTGGCAAGGTACAGACTGCGGAAGACTCTCTTGAGAGCTAGGGCAGCCGAAAAAGCAAAACACTTATACCCTTCGACGTAAGCTGCGGGTATAAGGCAAAAGTTCACAAAGGCAACAAATAAAACTAACAGTTACAAATGAGTCCCTCTAATACTGTCAGAGTTCGTTGACTGAGGAGGCGACACTGGGATTTTCAGGCTCCCAGTCCGCGCCGCACTTCACCCATCCCGTCCTCCTTGTCTTGAAGTTCGGCCGCATCCTCTTAAGGAATCTCAAATTGGATGCTCCCTGCGGAGCATTGTCACCTCCGGCTCTCAGCTGTGGGCGAGAAAGGAAGATGGAGCGCTCCAGGTCTGGCAATTTCGGAATTTGTATGGAGGGACTGAGGATACTGTCCCGTGCCCGCCGACGAGGGTAGTCGGGTGATATGGAGTGGGCACAAGGATGTGAGGATCAAGTGCTAGAAAATGGATCTTGTTTCCGATGGTTTCAAGGAATGCATGTCGTGTATTGCTCACAGAGGGCCTATCCTCTCCATGGTCATTACTTGCTACGGTTAGTGTAACTCGGTTATTCATATTCTGCTCTTGATTGTTTTCGTTTGGAGAACATTTCCCTATTATCTGATCAATAGAACCTTTGTGGGTATGATGAATATATTTTGATGGTTGTTTTGTTAGTAACCTAAGAATGCCAAAGGAACAGATGAAAGTGTGATAGACGCCATTGCCCTGTAGGTACTGTCATCCACTTGATAGGTCCCTTGTTGTTAGACCTTATGGGAGTATATGATCTAGTTTGTGGAGGGAACTTCTAGTCTTATATGGCTAACATAGTTTAGAAATTTTTTTTTTTTTGGGGGGCGGGGGGTGGGGACTCCTGGGCAGCTGGGCTTGAATTGCATCATTCAACTTAATTACGTATCGCTTGATTGTGTCTTTATTTTTCATCCTGGCCAGTTTTGTCCTTAATCTGTTCTTCTATCAGGAAGGCTCTACATTGTGATTTCACATCTCTAATTGGTCTGTGTTAGTTCAGGTGACTTATGGTCAGGTTCTAAGAGCGGCTCTATCAAGATATGGCCATGGGAAGCAATTGAAAAGTCATTTTCCTTCACACTAGAACGAAGGAACGATGCTGCATTGTCGGTGGAGAGATCATATATTGACCTTCTGGACCAAGTTAACCTGAATGGCTCATCAAATGCATTAACTTCTGATGTCTAGTACTTGCTATCTGAAAATTCTAGAGCGAAAATCTGGAGTCCTGGTTATCTCTCGTTTGCTCTATGGTATGGTTCACAATATCTATGACTATGCAACCTGTGTTCGAGGAAGTGAAGACTAGATCTTTTCTTGCAGTATGAAAACCAAGTTTGTTTAACTAGCTTAAGTTCTCAGTCTTTTTTGTATCTGACAGAGATTTCCCTTTGTAGATCACATAGGACTCCAGTCACCTCACTTGATTTGAAAAGATCTGTTTGGTTTTCGTTATATCATGCAGTACATATTACCTAAAGCCATTGAATTGGATGACACCTTGCAAATTTTTCGGAGAGGATAGTAGCATTTCATGTTTGTCTAAGTGAAAGAGTTATTTTATATCAGTTTTAATCTTTTTATTTATGTCTTTAAATGAATCACCGTTTCATCTTGCTGACAGAACAAAGCTCGTCGAAACATTGCAGTTTCATGTCTGATTCAATATAAAAGTGGTTTGGTCTGTAGATTCTTGTTATGATATATACTTCTTGAAGGTACAAAGCTCATTTCGTTTCTTCCAGCGTTCTATGAATGCTATAAGTGATACTGTTCGTCGAGTTGCTGCAAAAGGTGGATTTGCCGATGATCGCAGAACCGAGGCCCTGATGATGACGGTAGATGGGATAATCTGGACTGGCTGTACAAATGGCTTAATTGTGTAGTGGGATGGGAATGGAAATCGGTTACAGGATTTTCAGTACCATTTTAGTGTTGTTCAATGCTTTTGTGCATTTGGGTAACAGACGGTTATGGGTAGGCTATGTTACTGGTGTGATCCAGGTTTTGGACCTTGAAGTGAATCTAATTGGAGAGTGGGTAGCTCACAGTAGTTCGGTGATTAAAATGGTTGTTGGTGCTGGTTACGTTTTTCCTTTGGCTAGTCATGGTGGCATCCGCGGATGGAATGTCATGGCTCCTGGACCTCTTGGCAGTATACTGCGATCAGAATTGGCAGGAAAAGAATTCTTATATACAAGGATACAGAATTTGAAAATTTTGACTGGTACATGGAATGTAGCTGAAGGAAGAGCTACCAGTGACTCGCTTGTGTCCTGGATAGGTTCTGCAGCTAGGGATGTTGGGATAGTTGTTGTTGGGTTACAAGAAGTTGAAATGGGAGCCGGGGTCCTTTCAATGTCTGCTGTAAAAGAAACCGCAAGGCATCCTAATCTTTTATCTACAATGAGTGCTATCTTCATGTTTCTTCTTTACCATAGATCATAAAAACCATCTTATGTAGATTGAGCTGTACATCCTCACATTTGACTGCGGAAAAAGGCACTGCATTTGATTCTTAGTAACTGAATAATACACAGGCTGAATGTTACTAGGGTTAAAAACAGCACAAGCCTCATGGACGTTTGGATGACTACAATCATACCTCAGGACGAGAAAATCGAGAGAGGAAAAACAGAACTGAAAAAGTCGGCATTATACTAAGCTTCAGCCTTAAAACTACAGTTAGGCTGCTTCTTGTTATGAGGCTTGCGCTCATCCAAGATGACATACGTGATCAAGACGCCATGTCTGTGTGCTGCTCTATTTCTACGTCTCCTGTCATTTTCTTTCACTTTATTGTCTTCACTTTCTTCCTATTTCAGGTTGGACTTGAACGTAGCTCCGTTGGGCAGTGGTGGCTCGATATGATAGACAAAATATTGGATGAAGGCTTGCTGGTCTCTGTATTGTTCGTATTCAAAACTGTAGTACAACATACTTTTGGAAAGCTGTTTTTGGCTCTTGATGGTCTAGATCTGCTCCCTTGGTGACAATTCTGAAAGTAATATGGATTTTGGGCTGGTTGTTTACACTATAGTAGGCAGCTCCACGTAATGTTTACACTATGTGGATTTTTGAAAACTAATTGGATATTTGCGTCTCAGGGTTGGAAGTAATTTTAAACCTCGTGTTGGAGATGTTGATGCTGATGCAGTCATTAAATTTCATCCTACATACAAATTTGAAAAGCAACAAGCTGGTTTAGCAGGTACATAGACGCTGTAGTCTTCGATTTCCGGCAAATGTTAACTGCATGGTGTGACAGAATATTATTCCGTGACAACCGGTCAGCTCAGCTGGAGTGTCTGAATGCAAGCTTGGAGTGCCCTGTTGTCTGTTTGCAACAACTGTATAGAAAGTGTAACGATGTGGGAGGGATTACGATGCGCCCATTTCAGTTTGAGTTTCCCACATGTAAGGCTCTGTGGTCTTCCGCACATCTTGATTTGGTTGTTGCTTGGATGCTTGATTCATTTTGAGAATACATGGTTTTTGGTAACTCTTCAGTTTGTTGTACTGAGCATCATGGATTTTATCCCTTTGCCCAATTTAATAAAGCTTGGGTTTAGTTCAGACAATACTAATACAACAGGAGACCACAATAACAGTGAACAGCAAGATCAGAAAAATATCCGAGCCTTGGGGGAACAGTCTGCAACACCATGGATCATAAGTAATATAATTAAAGAACCTGCTATTATCACTTAATACTCCAGCACATCAGGTGGTAAGCTCCATGATGGCAGAAACTATGTCCCCATCTGCAGCCTTGAGAGACTTCACAGCATTAGCCCTAGATACTCCTGCCTGTGTCATCACCAACTCAATGTCCTTCGGCTCAACTCCAGTTTCATCCACCTCCTCATCGTCCTGAGCCATGGCTGAAGTCTCGGGTTTCTGAATCACATGACTCGGATCGGGAGCCTTGAACTGCTCTGCCGCTTGTGTCTGGAGTTGTGAGCTTATGTCCTCAATCTTAGCCTCTCCAAATACTATGTATGTGTCTGATGTCGGGCTCTTGAAGACATCGGGTTTCGAGATCACGAACAAGATCTGTTTTCATTTAAGCAATGGTTTTTCACTATTAACCCTCGAGTTAAACAAGATGGAAGAAGACTGATTTTAGAAATAGTGGGGTGGAGAGAGAGAGATCGTACATTCTTGCTCTTTTTGACAGTCACTCGACTGACACCGGTCATGGGCTTCATTCCTAGCTTCAACATTGCTTTACGACTCTTTTTTTCACTTCTGGTTTGCTTCGATCTGCCACTTGCATCTCCATGCCCTGTGAATAAAAGAGAGGATAAATTTGACAGGTGAATTAAAAAGTCAAATGATTCTATATCCCATTATTAGAGGATTAATAAGTTAAATCAGATGAGACCAAATAGACATGGAATAATGGTTGAGGCATAGATAGTATAACAAGACTTTTGTAGGTTTAGACTGATCAAATTTCAAAATGGGACTCCAAAACCAAGATATAGAAAACCACTCAAAAGACAGATCATTCTGACTTCAGAGACTAGACAAAAGTAGATTTATTCCAACACATTGCCCAAAGTCACATTAGAACACTTATCGAATCCGTAAAAAAGATGCAAGGGTCCAACACACTGAAGCAATTGACATTTTGCCTGGTGGGCAGTATCATAAGTAAAAATATGATTACTAAAGCTTTTCCTAAGTGGTATGCAGCTTGTGTGATTGATGAAGACCTCTTTACAGCTACGGCTATTAAAAATAGACTAGCAGACACAGGTAATGAACAATAAGGGCTCTCTACCTTCCAAGTCATCGTCATCATTGTCATCATCATCATCCTCATCATCATCTTCATCATCCTCAACTACGGGTTGTTCAGGCTGTACATAGAACTCATCATCAGAAAGAATAAAGTAAAATATAGATATGGAGGTACTGCTTAATCTGTACAACTATGACAATTCAACCAAATCGTACAGATTACAGTGTATACTGTCTGTCTAGCAACAAGTAACAAGGCTGAGTACATGGAACACTGCTGCATACCCAATGACCAATGTTACCTCAGGAACAACAATTAGAGCAAGAACAAGAAAAGGCACAAGTGCCTAGTTTGCTTCTAGATCTCAAAACTTAAATCAGACTGTTGAATCAGAAGGTGATATGTTTAAGCAAGTTTTGTCCTTTGTTTTGATGGTAATGCCCAGCTTCCAAATATGTTCGGTAGAAATTAAAATTGATGCGCAAAATTAATTCGTAACTCCAAATCAGGTTCAGCAAGAAAGGTCAAACTACTTACATAGAATGCACCTTACAACAACAAAAAATCACTTGCACGATAAGAAGCTTAGCCAATATCAACTAGCATCCAACAAAAGCAACAAGCTTTGTCTGAGTTACGGGCACAAAAACGTCTATCCAACATAATATACATTACAGCCCATCAGCCCTTATCAATAATAATGAAATTAATTTCCATACACATGAGGTCGAAACCGAAATCTCAAGTGCTTCTTCTCGCCGACTAAGAACAGAAGCAAACAATCTTATCAAAGTTCAACCACATGACAGCTCATAGGGAAGAGCCCATCAGTCACTAAATAGGTATATTAATCCTTTACAATCCCCCCAACAGCAAAACTCAAAGATCTGCACACGGCAGATCTGATAGAAAACCAACCATAAAAAAGACAAGCTCTTTGAGGAAATAAGAAGTTCGGACGAACAGAATAATACCCAATTAAGATACCCTGGCATAGAAGAAGATAAAACATCTAGACGAACGAAAATGACGCTAGATCCATATCAATATGATACAAAGGCATACGTTCTATGGCAGCAGATAGAGAACAAGGGATTTACATCTTGAAGCTTTTGAGCCTCGAGCTGGGCGGCCAGCAGCTGCTCCTGCGTCTCAGCAGTCATCTTGCGGGTTTACTTGTTTTCCTTTCGGGTATAGTTCAGCGAGAAGAAGCAAAGAGCAAACGACTGAGGTCTGAAGTCTGAACGTTGAAGAACACAAAACCCTAAAACCCCCGGCCGAATTTTCTCCGTACTAATAAATTCGCGAAGACGGAAGACCTCGTGCGTCGACCGTCGTGGCCTTTCGCTACCTCGCAGTCCCACCCTTACAATTGGGCTTATTTTTGGGCTTTAGACAACAGAGAGGCACGGAGACGAGAAACAGGCCTGTGGGAAGAAAAAAAAAGACGAGAAACAGGCCTGTCGTGCTATTACGGTGCCGTTGTGAAAAGATGGATGTTATTTGCCGTCTAAAAAAAGGATGTTTGTATGTACCAAAAAAAAATATATATATTTTGTAAAAAATGACAATCCTGTACTCTTTTATTTTTATATTTTATTAAAAATTATTGTTTTTTATACGAACAAACCTCCTTCTACCGCCACCTTCATTTAGGGATGGCAATCGAATCCACGATCGTGGGTACGCTACCGCTCCGACCCAGTCAACGCGAAAAATCTTTACATTGACTGGATATGTAGCGGGTACGGGTAAAATCCACAAAAAGTTTGATGAGTATGGAGCGGGTATGGTTTTAGCCTCCCCACCCCATACCCATACTCATACCCGCCCCACCAAGAATCTCACATATAAAAAATATATGGATCAAATTGAAACCTATCAATGATAGTAATTAAAGGTAACTTAAGACAATATACAGTAGAAATGCAATTGGGTGCCCACCCAAATCCAAATATAATTCATTTATGTCAATTCTCCCTTCATTTTTTCACTTTTCTCTCTTGTTAAGAAAATAATTGTGTTAGTTAAGCATTACTTAGTAGATGTATCATAGTTAGAAACTAATTTTCTGAAAACTATTATACTCTATCTTATTGATTAATAGAAGTTGTAGGATTGTACTATTCGAAACATATTAAGAATGATTCGATCTTTGTTGACTTAATGATATAGTAGGTTTGTTTAGCATTATATAGGGGTGGACAACGGGACGGGACGGGATGGGATACCCGTCCTGTTTGAAACGAGTACCCGTTCCCGTTTGGAGACCAAAGTCTATCCCATATCCCAAACCCGTATGTTAAACGCGTACCCATTACCTATACGGGACGGATAACGGGTACCCATACTACCCATAAATACCCAAAGTTTGAATCACTAGAATTTTAAAAAAGTTTAAACTTAACTTGTACTTGCTTAACAATCACAAAATTCATCCCAATCACACAATCACAAATACTCGGTTTGCAAACTACACATTCATGAACAATTACAACTTAGGTAACCTAATTCGTGCATCTAAGCCCAACGCTCCCGCTTTGGCGCGTCAAAACGCGGATTTGGGACGGAGCGCAAAGAATTCGCGAACTGCATTTTTTGGGAGCGCGATTTTTGTGGGTGAGAACGCGGATTTGATGGATCTGAGTACACAAGGTTCAGTGGGACAGATAAAGGCGGCGAAGATGACGATCTGGCCGTCTGCGTTACCATCAGTGCCGCGAGAGAGAGGAAACAGAGTAACGGGCTGAGAGATGAGAGATGAGAAAGAAAAGGGATGACTGCATTGGAGTTCAAAGAAGAGATGAGCGAGAGGCAAGCCGAAAGGGTGAGGAACGATTCCTTCCCGTTTTTACGTCTACGAATTTCTGGATTCAAAGAAAAAATGGAAATAGAAAATAGAGAAGATGGAGTCGGAGTCGGAGTCGGAGTGGGAAGATGGCTGGCGGCAGAAGTTGAGGATATCTAGGGTTGGCTCCATCGTCACCTACCGATACTCCTCCCAAAGTGACTATTTTGCCCTCCTTTGTAACCAAATATTATCTCCTGCAACTTAATGGTCTCAAATCCAAATATGCCCCTTCCCTCGTCTCTTGTCCCAGACTGAAAAGCAAGAAAGCAATAAAAATAATTTTTGGTTTGTCTTATAGCTTTCGAAACCAATATCCTATAGCTTCCTTTTGGCATTTGTTAGAAGTTTCACACTAAGCTACTTGATTTTTCTTAGAATATTGTGAAGTACTTGTAATTTTGAATTGAGTAGCTAATAAATTTATAAAAATTATTAAATTAATTCATTTAAATAAAATAATATCACGCTCTCGTCGCGCTCTCGATAATAAGCTATTGAAAAATGAGCGCTCTCACGCTCTCGCTCACGCTCTCGCTCCCGCTCTCGCTCCCGCTCCACGAATTGGTTTACCTAAATTACAACGCATAGAAACAAAGCATTCCATAAGCCATAACAACTAAGAAGGAAACTGTTGGCTGCTGCTGTTATGCTTCAAATAAGTGGATTAAACTCGTGTTGCCGCTGTTTGCATACTCCATTCGACACAACCAAGGCATGCTGCTGCTGTTCTACTGTTGTAAGCTGCTACTATTCTCTGTTCTGCAAGCTGCCTGATCATAATGACAAAGGAAGGGCAGCAGAACAATAAACAACAAATAAAGGCACCATTCAACTTCAGTAAAGGCACCAAACAATAACAACAAATAATATTCATTCGACACAACAAACCAGCAGAGGAATCCTTAATAAACAGCTGGCATCTTAGCTAATAGTGTGGCAATCGAACCAGGAGCTGTTGAATGGAGGCGCAACAACTTCGGGCGGGGAGTGCGGCGGCGGCGGAGAGGTTTCCCTTTCGTCCGCGGCGGTGGTTACGAGCTGCACGGTGACAGCGCCTCTGTCGGTGACGGCTATCGCAAGGAGAGGGTGAGCTTAGAGGCCGAGCTAGGTCACTCGTGGTCTCCAGTCTCGTGCTATAGAGTTCTGGAGAGTTGCATTGGTTTGAGTTAGGTTTGCTTGGGGACAAGCAAACGGTTATGTGTGGGGGAGTTTGATAGACCGTTAATTGCACATGTTTTTACCCCTATTCTTGAGCTGTTTGAGATGTCGATTCTCCCGTTTTAGGCTTATTTCACGCTAGGTTGTTCTTGTTTGTGATATTTCAAGTCCTAGCACGTGAATGAAGGCTTGGGAACGAGTTCGTGGTCGATTGGACAAAGATCGGACGTTTGGCGAGGAGCTGATGGAGCCACACGGGCATGCCTAAAGCCTACACGGCCGTGTGACCTGGCCGTGTGGCACCAAATTACACGGGCAAAGTCACACGGACCGTGTAGAGGCCCCTTGTGGCCGTGTGAAGGCTCGGCAAATCCCACACGGGCAGTCTGGACACTCACACGGCCGTGTGGGTCGTGGCCGTGTAGGAAGCCTGAAGCCACTTATCGAAACTCCACATTTTGACACTCACACGGGCAGCCTGGGAGAGTCACACGGCCGTGTGGCCTGGCCGTGTGATTAGGGAAATTCTGGGTTTTAACCCAAATTCGAGCCAAAGGAGAGAGAGAGCTGGGTTTTGGATCCCAAACACCCAAGGGACGAACCAAAGAGAGAGAGAGGGCGATTTGAGGGCATTCTTGGAGTGGAATTGGAGGATTTCTTCGCCTTGGAAGCTCTAGGAACAAGCCCAGACTTGAAGACTGATCATCTGAAGATTCTTACTGCAGTCTCTCTCTTCTCTATGAAGTAACTTCCATTCACTTAGGTTTTGAGGAACCCTAGCTATGTTTGTTTGATTGGATGATTGTATGAGTACTCTGACTTGATAATCTTGAGTTCATATTCAATCTATGCATGTTTTCACGATTCAATTCTGCTTTAGTCGAGATTATTGATTCTGCTTTGATCCTATGAGAGCGAATACCTGATTAGGTCAATAGAGCACCATAGATTGATAGTATTGGATCGATTGCTTTAGTCGAGGGTTGATTCACTGCTTTGTATCGATTGAGAACCTCTTTCGATAGAGGGAGTCTAGTTCAGAACGCCTTGATCAGTTGGTCTAGAGAAGGATACGTCCCTCTAGGCAATTGACTCAAGAGGGCCTTGTTCCTTTAGTCGAGACACAAGGTCTAGTCAAGGATTCTCCGCATTGTGAATGAAAGTGAAACAAGTTAGAGATCATCAATCGTTAATCTGGCTAGTGGCTAGGGGGAATCATACCTAAGTGAGTTCCCAACCTGTAATTAGATTAACTTTAACTGTAGTTTGCTAGAGTAGTTTTAGTTCTTTTATCTTAATCTGGTTTGCTAGATAATGAACTGAAGCTGAGTAATAATAACTCTAGAGACCCTTGGATTCGATATTTATTACTTGAGCCACTATACTGCAGTCCCTTTCATTGGTTACACTTGGCCATTGTTAGGTGTTGTGTCGTAGCGAGTCAAGGACCCAGTTCAAATTAAGAAAATGAGCCATCTGACCATTACCAATCTGCCACCGTAACCCCTTAGTTAACAATTGGCGTCCAAAAAGTATGCTCTGCCATCCCCAAGACGGGCGGGGCCGAGCCGAGAGGAAGGATTCCTTGGGAAAGTACTTCCCTTTGTAAACCTGGGCTAAGAGGAACTGAGGTTCATTCAGGATTCGCCATTCAATTTTAGCCAACAAAGCTTGATTAAACTGTTAGAAAAGATGAAAGCCCACAACACCCACCCCAAGAATTGCAGCCAAGAACTCCTAATCCTGCAAGGAGATGTTCTTACTGAAACAAACAGCCAATTTATCCATATTCACTTTTTGGCCACTAAGCTCCTCATACTCATTAAGAACTTCTATCAGATTCTCACACTCCTGGAGAGATCCGAGGAGGAACAAATAAGAATCATCAGCAAAGAACAAATGAGATATCCGGGGAGCCCGAGGAGCTACTTGACCCCTTCTAGCCTCTTATCGGAAATAGCCTTGCAAAGTAGGGCTGCGAACCCCTCCGTACAAAGCACAAAGAGTAGAAGAGAAAGAGGATCCCCATGACGGAGACCCCTGGAAGGCGCAAAGAAACCAGAAGGAGAACCGTTCATGAGAACCGAGAACGTTGCTGATTGTAAACATTCCTGCACCCATCATCTCCAGACAGAGTTAAAACCCATCTTTTCCAAAACTGCGAGAAGAAATGACCATTCAACTCTATCATATGCCTTTTTTATTTTCAAATAGTGCATTAACTCATGCCTAAGGAGGATATTATTCACAATCTATCTTTCACGGATAAAGGCATTCTGCCTTCCGAGATGATTAGGGGCAGCAGTCCCGCAAGTCTCTCCGCCATAATTTTGGTGATCACTTTGTACACAAATTGGCATAGACTAATGGGGTGAAGTTGCCACATGGATTCCAACTGGTCCACTTTTGGGATCAACGTTAGCCAGGTGTGATTGAAGCTACGAAGCATCCTACTTGTTTCAAAGAACGAGCAGACCGCTGAAATAATTGAGTCCCCAACAATCCCCCACTAGGCTTTAAAGAATTTACCCGTGAAACCATCATATCCTAACACTTGCTTCGAACTCATAACAAAGACCGTTCTACGGATCTCATCAGGGAAGACCTCAGAAGTTAGGCTTGCATTCATCTCCGGGGTAACGCTGGAAGAGGTTTACAGTTTTATTTCCTTGGAGAGATACAAGTGCAATACACCATTCATATAGAAAGAAAACTCATTTGTGCTCGCCCCTTTGGGCAGAAAACTCTTTTTGAAACTGGAGATTTTTCTTTTTTATGAGCGCATTGAACCTATAGAGATCAATCATGCAAAAGTTCTAGAGCTTTCACTAACGTTGGTCTAAACCTTCTAAGGTCCACTGTCACATTTTGGTTCTGCATGTAAATGGACCTGAATTCCTCCCACTTGAACGACCAAGGAGTAGTAAACACCACATGATCAGGCGAGTATCGCCCTATCAAACTGCTCTCTTCTTTCTTGATCTTGTACTGCAGATACCTCAAATTCATCTCCTTGGTCGGCTCCTCGTAGTATATCTTTGCCGACCAATCTAAAGCCAGCGGAATCACCTGGACCACGACCGCATTGTCCGGGAGGAACACCATGTTGGTCAGCCCGGCGCCGTGAACTCCCACCACCACGTCACAAGAATTCATCATCTCCGCCGACTCCGACATGGTCTTGTCGTCAGGTTCCACCACTTTTACGTAGTATCCTAGCTTGGTCGCCATTCCCGCTATCTCATTCACGTTGGTGAAAGCTCGAGAACCCTTCCGGGAAATGATGATGAGTTGAGGATTGTTCATCATCGGATTCTTCTTGTCCCCATCATCGTCATTGTCGATTCGCAACTTGATTGCTCTTGTCTTTCTCAATGAGTAGGAACTTCTTAGGAACTGTCTGAAGTCTTTCATCGTGTAATCGGTCTCTAACGGGCTGATACCTAATTCTTTTCTGCCCCGCCCTTTTAGACCGATTACTAGCCTCGAGAAGCAGTGGATTTTGCCATCTTGTTTTGACCTGTCGATATCTACCTCGTCGTACCTGAACAAAAAATGGAAAATTCGCCTTTGGAGAAAAACCATAATTAACGGGTAAATAAGAAAAAATGTTGATATAACTTGAATCGGACTATTTGGCCCTATGACTGAATGTCACGGGGCCCTTTGTAATCTGTATCTCCTCGAAATATAGTGAAACTGACGCTCTCCTATCATGGACTAGCTAACACATATTGTGTTAGTGAATCACGTAAATCATGTGTGCTCTTGTGCTTTAGTTTTCTTGCTTTGTCAAATACTCATATTTCCTTATCTGCCGAGAAACATTCGTGACAAAAAGAAAAAGCGACGAACCTCGATAGGGCTTGCATGATCGTTTTGACCTTGTTCACCATCCATGGCTGGGTGTCGATTACCAAGAGCTCGACTTGGCGGTCGAAAGGGCGAGATGTGACGAAGAGTGGGATGAGAACATCGGCGAAGCCATGATAGTGGTTCCCAGAATATCCTCCGAGAGAAAAGAAGACTCCCGGGGGATCATGAACCTGAGTACAGTTTGGCAAATGTTGGTGATCATTTCCAGCTGGCGACACCATTTTCACTGACCATTCTGATACTAGCGCCATGGCCGACGCATCGTCAGTTCTTGCGTAAGGCTTTATGGTCCATGACGACGATGTTGTAGTAGTAGTGTTATCGGTGTCGTCGCCGGCAATGAGGATTGCGTCTGTCTTTGGTGGGATAACGTAGTAAACAGTTGTTGCATCAGGGTCGATCCTAATGTCGCCTACCATGTCACATATGTCTGATGCTTCACCCTTACTGCATCTTATTTTGTTGTTTGGTTGCAACGTCCTAGCATCTGCATGGAAAATGAGGTGAGTGCATATGTAGGAGTGAACAAGGCTATAAAGTAAGGTTGTCAAACCCGTCTATACCGTTCCGCAGGTTTAGCAAGTAAAATGGTATGATCGGTTTGTGCCGGTTCATGGTGACTTAATAAAACACGACATTCAAAAAAAAAAAAAGTACTCATATTTAAATACAACATTTAACGCCAATATCTAACGGTTTATACCTAAATTCAACAATTTACATCAATTTTTAACTTTTATATTCATAAAATATATAATAAATTTATTTTTTTAATCAATCAAATTTACTAAAACGATATCATTTTACTTAGAATTCGTAAATCTATCGTGCAGATCGTACCAGTAATATTTATACCGGTTTTATGACCAGCACCAGTTGAACCAGCTGTTTCAACCGATCGACATGCCACCGGCATGCCAACCATGCCATAAAGTAATATTTTTTTTTCCGGTAACAAATAAAGAGCCCACAGGAGAATTGCTTTATAATGAAGAAATGTCTGACCAGAGTTACTCACTATTCGATTCGTCCAACATTGAGGCACTTGTAGAATTTACGGTACCGGAAATCTTTCGATTTCTCACGATTTCTTGGTCTGCATTGGCTATAATCCGCGACGTAGAGTTCATCAGTTATGGTTTAGCTATTTATAGACCAAATTAATTTGATGAAAATAATCATGTACTCACTCTTCTTACCCATATCAATTAGTACTCCAGGAGACCACATTATATGCACTGCGATAATCAACACAAGCAAAAACAAATCAAGATGTAAGTAAGAATCCATGCATGTAAACATTTTAAAACCTGCAAAAAAGACTGGAAATGGTACAGAAAAGAGGGATGGACAGAGTTAAGTGATCATTACAGGAAGGGAGAGTATCCCATTCTCGACACATGGTGTAGAAGCTGAAGAAGATGAGGAACCAAGTGAACATTTCTCGTCTGCTGACGCTGTTGGCCGCCGCCGCCGCCGACTTCTTCTGTTCATGCTGTTTGGCCAGCCAGCTATTCAACTTGATCTTCATCTTTCGATACCAATTTTGACTAGCTTAGCTTCTTCTAATTTCTCTTCTGATATACACTCACCTAGATCAAATCCAGGCTTTTTTATAACTTGAGAATTGTCACTTGGAGAAGCGAGAGCCAGCACGTAAGAAATTTGATCGAACTTATTTTGTTTCTCATTTTGGTTGTGCAAATTAAAGAACTTGAATATTGCATGCAGGGGTTACTATTGATTCAATGTGGCATCAATGAAATTGGTTTTACGTGACAATATTATCAGTTGGTAGAGGGATGTTGTCGCAAAGTTCATTACCCGCATCTCTCAACTCATCTATTAACTGCTTGCAATTTGATTCAATACTTGATAGATGCGGGGTAGTATGGTTTCCATGAATCACATAGCTATTTTAGACGAAAGAAATATGACTTCATTACGATAATATGAACTCAATAGAAACCATCTTCATGTATATATATATATGGTGGCTACTTCGGCGCACTCACTTTTTTGGGTGCGCTCAGTGCGCCCACTCTAAAAATGTCCATATTACATCAAATTTTGAAATTTAATTAGTACTCTCAATCTAATATGATGATATGGCATAGAATCATAATAAATTAATCTATTACCCAAACCCCTTAACCTTCAATTTTGAATCCCAACCCAAAATACCAATTTATAAACCTAATCCCTAAATCCTAAATCCTTCGAATTAAAGTAAAATTTGAATGAATTTTTATCAAAATTCATGTGCTTCTTGTTCATAATATCATAAGCAACAATTGATACCGTTTTGACATGAATCGCATGGTCAGAATGACAATTATGAGGCGGGTGCACTCAGTGCACCCGCCCGAAAAAGTGGGTGCACCGAATATGCCACTATATATATATATATATATTTTTTTTTTTTTCTGTTGAGCTAAGTAATGATCTCCTTATCCGAAAGCACATTATAGCACTAAGGAATTATGCTCTAGATTTTTTCCTAATCTGGTCCTTACTGTTCAAAGTTTGTTAGTCTCAGTTAAATTGAGACCTATTTGGCATTGAGTCGGGCAGCTCATGCGCATAAAAAGTTCTCATCATTTAAAAAATACTCCTACATATTTTTAACCCTCTTCCCATATATTCTTTTTTTTTTGTATGAGTTGCACCCTACGATTTCCAATAAAAAACAGCAAATCGACTAATTTTTTGTCGAAACTGAAAAAATGATTAAAATAGTAATAGTAATTTTGCAATTACATAGTTTTTACCGAGTTAGCGCCTAATTAGGCGTGCCTAGTGAGTAATTAGGTCCTCGTTCGATAGAAGACTAAGAGTCTTTTAACAACATGACCGCAACAACTAAATGTTTATATTTGAACGACTATGTTAAGGGGAAAAAATATAGGATATGAACCACATAAGAAAATTAAACCTTCATAGTTCAAGAACCAAATATACCATTAATTCTAAAAAAATTAAGAAAGAAAATAAATTAATATATAAAAGCCTAGGTTTGAGTTACTATTCATTAGTGGCTCTCGCACTCCTCCAAGTGTAAGTGGGGAAGTTCCAACTCATTCTGTTACCCCACTCTCTTACTCTATATCCTATGTGTTCATCTATTGTTTGTTGGGTCTATATCTATTGTCAATTAGTTCTCTAATGTTAGGTTTTTGTGTATTAATTGTCTACTAAGTTTTCATTTATTGTTCATTGGTTTTCCTATTGCAACAGTTACTCATCTCGAAATACAATCGACGAAATCATAAGTTGTCCTCTTCCACCTTTGCCACGACTACTACCGAAGATCCATACCATATCTATTATGCGCAAATATATAAAAGCCTAGATTTGAGTTACTATTCATTAGTGGCTCTCACACTCCTCCAAGTGTAAGTGGGTAAGTTCCAACTCATTCTTTTACCCCACTCTCTTACTCTATATCCTATGTGTTAATTTATTGTTTCTTGGGTCTACATCTATTGTCAATTAGTTCTCTAATGTTAGGTTTTTGTGTATTAATTGTCTACTAAGTTTTCATTTATTGTTCATTGGTTTTCCTATTGCAACAATTACCCATCTCGAAATACAATCGACGAAATCATAAGTTGTCCTCTTCCACCTTTGCCACGACTACTATCGAAGATCCATACCATATCTATTATGCGCAATTCTTGCATACGCCCAATAATGTACCCATCCGCTGTGTTTCAAAACCGCTACACAGAAAATCCATACCAAATTTGCTTTGTGTTGCCGAATTTGGTATCGGGACTAAGTTGCATATTTTTTAGTATTTTCTTTTCTCTCTTTTTCGTTTTGGTTAAACATGACGATTAAACTCAAACTCATGGGTATCCAACATAATTCGTCCAAGTCAAAGTGACTTTGAACCCGATTTTGGAATTGTAAATTTCTATATTTTTTCCTTTGTTCAGAATGATAATTGAACCCAAACCCATGGTATTGACGAGTTTTGTATTCAGAGCGAGTTTTATATGCTTTTATAATTAATTGGTAGGTTTCGTCGAGTGTGAATTTCTTCAAAACTCGATTCGACCCTGTCAAAGCGAGTTGAACACGGTGTTGAAGAGTTTTTTATGGAGAGCGAGTTTTGTCCGCTTTAATATTATTTTTTATTCCTCCTTTTTCTTTTGGTTGAGAATGACAATTGAACCCGGACTCGGTGCTGACAAGTTTTGTATAGAGAGCACGTTTTATATGGTTTTAGACATGACATGTTGAGCCAAGTGTGAATTTTTAAAAACTTAGTTCGAACCAGTCAATGCAAGTGAACTTGGTGTGTAGAGTTTTTGGTAGGGAGCGAGTTTATCCGCTTTAGTGGTGTTTTATTTATCCTTTTACTTTTGGTTGATAACCAAACCTATGGGTATCCAACCTAGCTAATTCAACCTTACCAAAACAAATTGAACCTGAAGTTTACAAGTTTTCATACGGAGTGGGTTTTATTTGCTTTTGTAATTGACGGGTCGGGTCGGTTGTGAATTTATTACTAACTCGGTTCAACTTCAACCTGATCAAAGAGAGTTTAACATGAAGTTGCTGAATTTTGGGTCGTGAGCGAGCTTTGTCCACTTTAGTGTTTGTGTTAATTTCTCCTTTTTTTTAGAATGAAATTGAACAATGGATATTCAACCTAATTCGACTCGACCAAAGTGAGTTGAACTTTTTCAAACTTGCTATTAATCCCGGAAATCAATAAAAAGGGAGAATCAAGATGAACTTAAAAAAACAAAGCAAAAAAAAAGCTAAACTAGAGAGAAGATTAAATATAGAAATCATTTGCTCGATGATCTTTCTCCCTTATTAAAGTTCATCGTTGCGTCGACTATATGGAGTTGTAGATGACAAGCTTTTTACTTTTGGGGGAAAATTCTAACTATCAATCTTTAAAATATCATATTTTCGCTCAACGTAAAGCGATAGCGAGCGGGCTTATGCTAGTATACCATTAATTCTAGAAAAATTAAGAAAGAAAATAACACAATCAACAAGAAGCAGCAGCCTAGGTGGACTCTGCTTTCTCTAAACCCGGCGATTTACAAGCTTGAGTCCATATTGGAAATCTTCACAATCCATAATCACGGGAACAGGCCCTCCTGGTTCACGATGATCTGGATTGGTGTCATAATAATTAGCATGAAACTGAAGACAGGGCTCCTTGGAAACACCACGTCGGCAAGCTGGTTCCTTAACCCTCTGTTCCTCGTCCTCAATGTCCTGACTCTGCAAAATCCATGGAGTCAACCCTGCCAGACCATGAGCCACGTACCCAAAAGTTGACCGCGGGCTCGTGACCAGCACATCGCACATGCTCAGCAGATATATATCCACCAATGCCTTCATATTATGTGAACTGCTACCAAGCACTTGTATCTCTTCGTGATTCGTCCGATAAACCCCAACCACCGTGGCTCCCGCTTTTTCGTTCCACTCCTTGTACATTTTGTTCAGCTCCGTGTAGAATTGGCCAAACAATGACGCTACCAGAATAGCAGTCGTTGTCGTCGTCGTCCTGTTTCGACCAGACGAAGAAGCAGTAGTGGTAGTTGTAGTCGTAGCATTGGGAAGAATTATTATTCGAGACTCTTCCTGGATGCAATTTATGACCTGACTCAGAATGAGTGAAGCCGGGGTTTTATCCAGGCTGAAAACCCTTATCTGAAGACCGATTCTTCGATCTGCTTTCGCCAGATAAGCGTCGTAGAATCCGGTGATGTGCCCCCAAACTTGATTGGATGGGCTGAATAGGTATCTCCCCAAGTGGTGGAAAACTGTCTCCTTGTCGTCAGGAAACATTCTGTCCAGTTCTGCCCTGAAGCAGGGCATCAGGAACAAGTAAGGGGCGAAATACTGGTCCGATCTCAGAACTAGCCAGGGGACTTTCTCCAAGAGTGGCTGAGTCTCACTTTTGAAGAAAAGCTTGTCGTAATCGTCGTTATCGTAGGAAAGAAAAAGCTGAAGGAGCGACGCAACATATGGCATCTCCTTCTTCTGCTCCTCCTCCTCCTCCTCCCTTCTCAACAGTTTTCCGAGGCTGTAAGTTTCCCTGAACTCAGGGGTATTGGCTCGGCCCTTGAAAGTGAAGTCTCTGGGGAGGAACCAGGTGGAGTTGTGAAACGGCTCGCAGAAGAGGTCGACCATGTCGGGGCCGAAATCGACCAGCAGGACACGGTTGGTGAGGAGAGCGTAGAGAAATGAAGAAGAGATGCTGAGCATCCTGTTCCCCAGTCCATTCACCGGTGTCCACACGATGTATCTGCAATCAAGTTCGACGTCTTCTTTTTCTTCAGGTTTTGTCACAAGGGAATCAGGGGAATTCTGTACCCTGATAAGTTCCCGGGAGCTTCGATTGAAGGACTCGGAGAAGGGATCGCAGCGCTTGTGACGCTGTTCGTACTCTTTGAGCCTGGAAAGGAGGAAAGGAGATGGCTTCGACGACGAATATGAGCTCCTGATGATATGTAACTGCTGCCTGCTGACGCAGGAATATTGTTCTGAAGATAGTACTTCTTCTTCTTCTCCTCCTCCTCCTGCTACTGGTTGTTGGATTGTGGGATTGATGCTGCTGCTGCTGCGTCGTTGGAGAAGCAGTGAGTATGGGCTGATTGAGTAGGCTATGATTAGCAGAAGAGAAGCGGTCATCACAGTAGCTACTACCCTTGGATTCAAGCTCTCCATTTTGCATGGTGGAAATTGAATTAACTCCATGCTTTCTACTTTTTGTGTTTGCTTATGACCGCGCTGAACATCGACTGTGTGAAGTCGTTGTTGTCGTCGTTCTGGTGTCATGTCCCAGGTCTCTAAATTTGAGACGCAATGATATTTCTTTGCCTTTCATGATCACAGTCATTATATGATAAAAACTCTTGCGGATTTAAGCAGCTAATACTTAGTCACACTTACCTCTTTAAATTAAGAAAATGAAGCATGAAATGAGAGTGTTTAAAAAAGTTGGTACTGGTGATAGTTAGCTGTCTTTCTTGATAGCACTCAACAACCGACTGCCATTGCCGGAGAGGACTCCTGCTGGATGTTGATGCAATTTTCAATGTATAATCAAGCTCAGTTCTTGGGTCAATTTTCAATGCATAAAAAAAAAAGAAGGGGCAGCATTTCCTTCCTGTTAAGTCACAGAAAGCAAATAGGCCCAAATAAGACCAAGAACAGGAATTATAGGCCGCAGAAAGATGGCCGGTGAGCTTGATCATAACAATCAGGATGGCACCATCAGCAAACAGACAAGGAGTTCTTACTCCCTCAGCCATTTTATCTTCCGACTTCGTAGCTTGGAAATCTCGGCCACCGCCGCCTGCTTGCTCGGAATCGGATTGTGCTGCCTTCTTCTCTCCGTTATTTCACTCTACTCTTCCACAATTTCGCCATGGTTCCTTCACCCACCGCCGCCTCCTCCAGGTTCCTTCTCCCTGGCTACTTCTCCAAATCCGGTGAGTTAATTACTGATATATATACAGAGATATTGATAACAACGTATTTGATTAATAATTTGAGATGCTTCGTTTCGTTGTGGTGGTAGGAGGACACAAAGATGCAGCAGCAGCATGAAATCAGCGAGGACCCAGAACTAATTAAAGTGCTGAACCGTGCAAAGATGACGACGACGGCCGTGGGCGAAGGAAGGCTGCCGCCGTCGGAGATTGTGATCCTGACCACCATAAACAGGGCGTGGGCAGAGCCAGGGTCGCTTCTGGATCTGTTTCTGGAGAGCTTCTGGAACGGGGAAGGGACGAAGGAGCTGTTGCGGCATTTGGTGATCGTGTCGCTGGACCACAAGGCGCACCAGTACTGCCAAGCCGTGCATCCGCACTGCTATGCGCTGACGACTCCTGGCGTCAATTTCACGGGGAACGCCGCTACAAGCAAGAGCGACGAGTACATGCGCGTCGTCTGGCGGAGAACGGAGTTCTACACCTCCGTTTTAAACCTAGGGATTGACTTCCTTTTCACGGTATAAAAAAAAAAGAAGGGAAACGCACACTTCTCACCTTCATGCTCTTTTTCTAAATTTTCTGCTCTCGCCTATGGTTAAACCCGGCTTCGCGATTCACAAACGTTGAATGCACTCACTCATAATTATTACAAAATTATTTTTTCGTGCAATTCAAGGTCGTGGATCGAAGAACGTCTAATCCTCAAAATCTAAAAACACTACGAGTAATACAACAATGGCTACACAAAAATTAAATTACATATTGTGGTTTGTGTCAATAACTCTAGACGACGAGACCAAGATACTATAAGTACAAAGTTCACAAATATGACGTGACTTACTGATCAACTGTTGTAAAATGACATTACTTAATGACCAACAGTTGTGTTTGTATTTTATCTATTATTAATGGCTTAGATTTGTTCGAATAACTCAAGTGACCTTACTTTTGTAGGATGCAGACATTGTGTGGTTACGAAATCCGTTCCCACACTTGCACGAACAAGTCGATTTCCAAGCGGCTTGTGATTACTACTCCGGGGATGATTCTGACCTCCGCCACATCATCAACACCGGGTTTATCTTCGTGAGATCCAATGATAGAACTCGTCGGTTCTACAAGTTTTGGTACGACTCAAAGGATAGGTTCCCAGGAGTGAAAGAGCAAGACGTGCTCAACAGTATCAAATTCGAGCCTTTCCTCAATGACATTGGGTTGCAGATCAAGCTCCTTGACACGGACCACTTTGGCGGGATCTGTCAACCGATTAAGGATCTCAAAGTGGGTTGCACCATGCATGCAATATGCTGCATCGGCCTAGAGTCTAAGATTCAAGCACTCACGGTTATCCTTCAAGATTGGAAGCGCTTCTCGTCTGCACCTGCTGAGTCGAGATCGAACCTGTCGACCTCCTTTGCTTGGAAGCCTCATCGCACTGGGTGCTGGTACGTACGTGCGCGCGATATTTCTGATTGGCGCATGCATTTGTGTTTTTAATTAATCTGTGTTTGGCCCGACATTTCAAAGACTTCTTTTACTAAATAATTATAAGCTAGATTAACATCCTCGGAACTAGAATTTTGGAAAAAAATTGCAATATATCACCACCCTGCAATTAATTTCCAATCTAGCACTAGAGGTCAAAATTTTCAATATAGCTAGGTTTTTGCTAATTTGGCGGTGGTGGTAAAGGAATATCGCTTGTATAACAAGCGACATACTTGTATTATCCAGTTTAAAAATAGTTATGATTAAAATTACTAGTCAAACCAGCGACATATGTTTTTTAAGGTCATTCTAGGCTTGTCAATGGGTAGGCCTATTGGATTTTTTGACCCAAATACCTTGACCCATATGGGTATTGGGTTTGGACCCAAATAGACCCAAATTTCTTTTTATTTTTTTGGGTTGGGTTGGGTTTAGATTGGGTCCAGAATTGACCTGTATATTTGGGCCGACCCAAATGGGTCCATTTGGGTATAAGTTAGATTTTGGTTAGTTGAAAATCCTCCTTATTAGATTTTGGTGAACCCGATAATTTATGCAAATCTGTATAATTTTCTTTTGATTAGAGCTAATTGTTAAATACAAAGTGTCCTGCAAACCACAACAATTCATGGCCATCTTCATCGAGATTCCATCTCTAGCCAGCTGAGTGATATATTCCACCATTGCTGCCCTGCATATTTCACACCATAATTGAGCATTCCAAGCCCCAAAAACAATTTCAATAGGAAAGACAGCTAAGTCTGACAAATCCAATTAAAAGTTGAACAAAAACAGCACACCCAAAATAATAAGCATACCGGATCCCAGTGCGCCATGAACAACCATGGATTCCACACCATGCGCATCTTCAACATCTTTTGATGTCTCAGGAGTCAAGGACTCCAAATTCCGCAGAAAAGATCCTGCTTCACAACCAAACATGATTAACAGATAATAACGGCAGAGAATAGGGACGAAGATAGAGAAGTATTCATGGAAGTACCGGATAAAGTAGGTGCAGGCATTGCAATGTCAAGAATGGCCACTTGGTTTTGGAGAAGGAACAAGAAAAAGGATTAGAATGCTAACAATGAGCTTCTGTGGTCTACAGTCTCCTTCAAAAACTAATAAACCATAGAAGCTGGTTGCATTATTGGCCATGGATTGGATATACCAACTCAATTAATAAAACCCAAGTTGCCAGTTGCTGCTGTTGCTTTTGACCATTAACCCACCTCGAGTTTACAGTACAGCTGCATTCTTTCGAGTAATCTAAAACCTCAATCAGCCAATTACAGCAATTCCCCCTTTTTCTCTTTTGTTCTCTTGAATGCTACACTTGCAAGTTGCACCAACAACAAGAAGAGACGATCTTTTATATGGGGATGTGAGGAAACCTGCCAACGAAGCTCCACCTCATTTTCCCCAAATTCAATTGCCGACACCGACCCAGATTATGCCGCGAAGCTTCCTCTCGCCGTCGCCGACCCAGATTCAATTGCCGACACAACCCCGCTGTCAACCGACTGAACCGACGCAAACCCAGAACCAATATACAAAAAAAAAAAAAAAACCAAAACCAAAGATGAGACAAGTAAACCAAACCCAGATGAACGGAATGTTAGAGCGTGAGATACAGGGGAAAAGAAGAACCGAGCAAACAGAGAGGGGGCAAGATCTAGAAGAGAAGAAGATGGGGCAAACCTGGAGATCGAGACCAGCACGAGAAGAGCGAGAGGTGGGTTTCTTCCACAGCCTCGGGGTCCGATGGTGGGGAAAAGGAGAAGCTGCCGGCGTCGGGGCCGATGGTCGCTGATCAAGAATCGGGATTGCAGGCCGGCGGCGTCTTCGGGGCTGATGGTCACTGATCGAGAATAGAATGCAGGCGGGCGGCAGCGGCGGGATATGATGGTGGAGAAGCAATCGCTCTCATTAAGGGTATTAGGTCGAAGATGAAGAGACCCGTTTGGGTTTTGTAGAGATTTTTTTTTGTTTTTTTTAATTAATTTTCTGGGCCTATCTTGTACCCAATTTAATTGGATGGGTATGGGTCTGCTCCAAAACAGAAAAACCCAAAATCTGATTTGACCCAAATTCAATTGGGTTTGGGTAAAACTCATACCCTAAGACCCATTTGACATGCCTAGTCATTCTTAATCACTTAGTACTTAAGAGGTATTTAAAAAGAAAATGGAGGCCAAAAGGCCGGACAATTTACAACAAGGTAAGTATAATAAACCTACCCATAAAGGGATTCAAACCAAAGTGAGGGGGTAAGTTGTTTTCCTGTTGGACCATCCACGGCAAATAGGCTCCACTAGTTTCTTCTCGAATAATCTTCTCCAATTCCCTCGGTGCATCCTCCATTTCATACGACCCAAAGGGATAGAAGAGACCTTTTTTTAGAGCCATTATGGGCTCTATTCCATTCATAATACATGTGAGTTAGATGAGCCATACAACCTTGGGTAAGCCAACGATGATGAATCGACAATAGCTGAAAGAGAGTGGTCAACTATTTATCGAATGCGAGTGAAGTCTCTTGTCACGTTAGGTGACAAAACACCTAATTTTGGGTTATTCACGTCATATTTGCTTTATTTACGTCATATTTGTGCCATTCACGTCATATTTGCATTATTCACGTAAGAGTGCTGATTATTCACCTAACCAATACTATTAGGTCACGCCATCTGATGTTTATTCACGCAATTTGTTAATTATTCACGCCGTTGTAAAATAAAATTTTAAACTTTGAAATATATCAAAATGGATGTCATTGTGTAGATTATGATCAATGCAACATATTTATACAGATTAAATGATAATCCAGATTTAATTCCATTAAATATAGCCAATACAAATTATTAGGGGGAAAATGTATGAATTTCTATTTACGTGAAAAACTTACACTCTTACGTAAATCACCATATTATTACGTGAATAAGCATAAAATGGCATGAATGGTCACAAAATGGCGTAAATGCACTGGTCTTAGGTGTTCTGTCACCTAACGTGACAAGAGATATTTTCCTTATCGAATTTATGGCTAAGCGTGAGTCAGTCTCAAGCACTAGAGAGTGGGCACTCTTCCTCCACGTGGGGATTGAGGCCATTGTGAATCCCCCAACCAGAGCCAAGTTTGTTGTAGAATCCTGCAATCCACTCGTCGTTGCTATAAAAAAACTCCTCTTGTTGTTGCCTCCTTACTTTTCTTCATACGATCCTTTATGTAAGGGACATATCTGGCGCTAGAGGAAGACCTGTAACGGAGTTTTCAGAGAGCATTTCTTTGATTGGATTGATGACCTCTCATACTGTTGTTTTCGTTGCTAAGAATTTTTTTAGTATTTGCATGAGGTAGAATGATAGTTTTTGCATCTAATGAGACTAATCTCGATATATTTAGGACATGTAACTCATGAATTTTTTACCAACAATATAGGTATTCACATAACACAACATGTGTATTCACTATAACCGTTAATCATATTCTCAAAATGTGTTTCATGATAATATTCGATAGTTGTTAATAATATTCACAACAATCGTAAGAATATTCACACCACTTGTTAAACATATGCAACTTGAATCCTCCAAATATATTGTATGAGTATATCAAACAGGTTGTACGAATATGTCACGCGGTGTGTCAGTCCACATATCAAAGCACCTAAAAAAATATGTCTAATATATATCAAAATTGACGGTATCATGTCATTAGATGCAAAAATAATAGATTAAGGGTAGATCATCACAAGTTTTCTGGAATGAATAATATTTTGAACCTCAAAAATAAAAAAGGGTAAAAGTGTTTTCAATATCTCCTTCTAAATGTGGCTCGTCACTGTCACATAAACAGAATGTTGCTTTCCATATAAGCAACATACATATGTTCCTAGTCTGAATGGCGACATTTGTCTTCACTGCCAAGTTAGCAAAAATACAGCTATGTTAGGAAATAGTTGTGAAGTACCGTTATTTTAAGAATTAAAAACAGTTGTTTTGGAAAATTTTCCATTTAAAAATAATATTCGTATCTACCCACCAATTAGATTTGGCTAATTGCATATCTTTTTCTGTTCCTTTCCCAGGGGTGGTGGGTGAATATTGGAATTGGAGGAGGAGCCTATAAAGAAAAGAATGGATTTACGGAAACAAGCTCCTCAATAACAAAGTATAGTGCCCATGTGCAAGAATAGAGTTGTGAGGACTTTTATTTTTCAATTGTTTTTCTTACTTGAAGTTGAACCAATGAAAATGTCATACTAAGATTTCACTTGGATGCTTGATTTCAAAAGTTTGAATTCGGATTTAGTATTTCCTTGTTCTCATAGTACAAAGAGCATGGGCCCTAGCACAACCTATGTAAAAAGGTGGTGCTCCCATCATTTGATTGCCTATAAAACGAGGGTTTCCCCCAACTTAAGGGGATCTTTCCTCACTATGTTCATGAAGGAAGGGAGGAAAAGGAGGGGAGGGTAGGAAAATTTGGAGGGGAGGTTAAGTTTGGAAGGGAGGGAAATTAGAGGGAATTGGAAAGAAAATGTTGTTTAATGGAGGAAAGTGGAATGGAAAGTGGGAGGGAAAAAGTAGATTGGGAATTGTGATATGTATTATATTTTATTGATGATAGAATAGTTAAATAATTTAATTATGTGTTTATATTATTTACATTAATTATGTAATGTGGATCAAATTTGTTCTTCTTTGTTAATTTTGTTAACTACAACAAATCAAAAGTTGGTTTATTCAATTTAAATTTTGACTAAATCATGTTTTATTCAATTTAAAAGTTGTTAATTGCGAATTTTGACTAGGGCTTCATAGCGGTGATCTTTATTCAATTTAAAATTTTCCCTAAATCATGTTTTTTAACTCCTAAATCATGTTTTAATGATGAAAGTTTTTTATTTTGAAAATACGAGACAAACAATTTAATGGAAATATCACTTACTACTCATTAATTATAATATTTTTTTGTTGATCTACTTTTCATATTTTGCTTTCCATAATTTACTCTATCGTCTAACTACTTGCTTTCACAATAAAAATAAACACTTCCCACTTTTTTTGTTTTCACAATGCCGTGCAACCATATAAATACAGATTAAAAATATAACCTCTTGCATATATTCACAATAGCGCATTTATCTCTTCTTAGCAAAAACAAAACTTAAAAATAACATACTCATTTAAATCAGACCTCGTTGGGAAGGAAAACGAAAAAAGAATAAAAGAAACCTATTCCACATTAAACACTCTCAATGGACAATATAAAAAAAGAACATATAAACCCAAAAAAGAAAAAGAAACAGAAAAAACAACGTAAAGATTGTTTCTCTCCAATTTGTATAAGATGTTTATCCAACAAAATAAAAAATGTAAAAAATTATAAACTTTAATTTCCTAATCATTCATCCCATCCAAAAAATAAACTGAAAAACAAATAAAAACAAAAGAAACTTCTCCTTCTCTCTTTCCCTCCAATTTGGAGGGTAGGGTGATACAGTACTCATTCCTTCCATTTTCCCTCCCCTTCCTTTCTTTCCCTCCTTCCCGAACAAAGGAAAGTGTATTGGAAACACAACTTTCCTTCTTTCTTTTCCCTCCCCTTGCTTTTCCCTTGTAAATGAACAGAGTGGTAGCATAGAAAAGAGTATTTCCAACAATTCAATTCCGGCCCGATTGAGAGGTATCATGATGTTTATCGTCATTGGGATTGTTTCTTTTTTAGCTTCTTTGTTTGCCACATCGCACATGAATATACTTATTTAGTTTTTTTTGGATGGGATCATGAATTTACCTTACTGTTGTTATTTGATATTGATTGAATGCAATATAAATTTCGATGTTCATTTTTATTTATTTATCTATACTTAATGTATCTTGCACGTTTTTAAGTGAAGTTGACCACTTGATTACTTGTATGATTTTCATGAATGACGTGGAGAATATCCTTATTGCATGATAAAACACCATCCTCAGGAGAGTGAATTTTGGGTGTAAATACAATAGATGTGAAAATGTTCCCTATCTACGTCCATTTTATCATTTCTGCCAATACATGCATTGATTAAACATTGTTGTTAATCAAGTAATGATTCCAAAGAATAGTGTCCATGTGCCCAGGGGCGGAGCCAATTTGTAAAGCGTGGGTTCCGAGACCCACCATGACAGGGAGGTTACCATATATCTTATATTTGTGTGTTAGAAAAATAGAGTAATTAAAAATAAGTATAGAAGTTAGAAAGGGTATGCGGGGAAAAAATTTATCACGCTCGAATTTTGGAGCACAAAGTTATGGTTGTTCAAAATTATTGAGGATTTTTAGCGTTCAAGAAATAAAACTTTGTCAATATATTATTGTTTCAAAAATAGAGTTGTAGTTTGGTGGTTTAGATGTTGTGCTAAATTTAGTTAACTATTTATTATATCTGGATTCGAACCACTATCCCCACAACATGCTACTTTTTTTACTCTACTAAATAAAAAGACTTAATTCGAATCTAGGACTTCTTGCACACAATAAACAGTTAAACCAGTTGTGCCAAGACCACTAATGATATTTATTATGAAAAAATATAATACAAACTGCCTGGTGGGGTGCGGTTTGCAACTAAACCGCCACCGCCCCACGCGGTCAGCAAAATCGCCCCCTACCCGTGCGGTTTTCAATTAAAACTGCGCCCCCGGGTGGCGTTTTTTGAAAAGGGTGCTATTTTTGGAAATTTTCAGGATTGGATGCTATTTTTGGTATAAAAAAAATTAAAACAGTGCTATTTCTGGAAAAGTCCGTAACTATGCATATAGAACAGTACTGAGATTTGTACATGACAAAAGGTTTCAACTTTATGATGTCTCATGACATGTATTATAAGTTTGCCCATTCATTTTATATTATTGACAAATGAAGCTTCAAAGTTGTAAACTTTAGCATAAACTATAGTTGAAGTAACAATGAAAAAGATAGGCAGAACATAATTATGCAGCAATGGTTGTCTGTTTCATTAGTTTACATACTCCTTTTCTTTTATGACCTACTATTATATAATGCGACACATATCACAAACGACCCCGTCGCGGAGCGCGGACTTTCCTTACTAGTTTATTTAATAGTACAATTTAAAGTTGTGAAGTTGTACCATAACATAATGGTACAACCTGAACTTATACATTTAATTTTATGATACAACTTTAAACCTAAACTTATACATTTAATGTTGAGATACAACTTATACTAGCTAGAAATGCTCTTTCAAAAAACCAAACCGCCACTAGTAGCAATGCGCACCTGCAAAACTTTCCTGTCTTCTTGATATCTCATCCACCCTCTAGCCAGTATTAGGGGTGGCAGCCGGTCGGTTTCGGTGTAACTGAAAACCGAAAACCCAGTTATCGGTTAAACCGAGACACCCCCTACAGCTTCCGGCCACCGACCGTGAGAGAGGTCACGGTTAGCCGGCCAACCGAAAAATTACCTTTTCCACAAAAAAAAAACTAAAAATTAATTAAATAAAACAAAACAATATCCACCACTCATCTCAATCCTTATCTCCTTCCTTCTCCACCATTTCACCTCTTCTCTCTCCTTCGATCCTTCCTTCCTTCCTCCACCAAACCTCTTCTATCTCCTCCTTTCTCCTTCCTTCCTCCACCAGATCTCTTCTCTCTCTCAAAAACCATGGCGCTATCCAACAACCTAACCGCAGTCCTGAACTTCATCGCCTTTCTTTGCTCCGTCCCAATCATCGCATCGGGGATCTGGCTCGCCTCCCAGCCGGACAACGAGTGCATCCACTTCGTCCGGTGGCCGGTCGTCCTCCTCGGCCTCCTCGTCCTCGTCGTCTCTCTGACCGGCTTCGTCGGCGCCTACTGGTACAAGGAGACACTCCTCGCCTTCTACCTCTGCTGTATGGCCATCCTCATCGCCCTCCTCCTCACCCTCCTCGTCTTCGCCTTCGTCGTCACCCGGCCCGACGGCGGCTACGCCATCCCCGGCCGCGGATACAGGGAATACCGAATCGAAGGATTCTCGTCCTGGCTGCAAGGTCACATCGTCGATTCGAAAAATTCGGGCGCGATTCGCGCTTGCCTCGCCGAGAGCGACGTCTGCTCCAGGCTGACACGGATGGCGCGGGGCCCAGGCTAGGGGTGGGCAAACGGTTCGGTAAACCCGAACCGAACCGAAACCGAATTAAATCGAACTAAAACCGAAATAATGTTATTCGGTTCGGAATTCGGAAGGAAAATATGGATATTTCGGAAATCAGTGTTCTTTCAACCGAACCGAATTTCCGACCGAAAAATCGAAATAATATAATTGCAACCTCCAAATGGTGGATATTTATGTTTGTAGTTGTTTTTATACTTAAATATTTGAAATGTTATATGACCTATGTGTTGAAAAGTTTGATTTTATCATTGATGATGCATATAATTGCATATTTATTGTTTATATTAGGGGTAAAAAATAATTTAAAAGTGAGAACATACAAGTAGCCTCACAAATTCGGTTTTGTGTTAAAAACCGAACCGAACCGAATTATAATTCGGTTCGAATTCGGTTTGAGGTTTGGGAGAATTCGGGAACCCGGTATTCATAATTTCGGTTCGGTCGAAACCGAACCGACCGAATGCCCACCCCTAGCCCAGGCAACTTCGCATGGCCGGCAGCGGCAAGGGTTGGTTTCTCTGTCTGCGGCGCTGCGCGAGAAGGTGGAAGGGGTGGATGGAGCTGGAGAAGCTGAGAAGGGGATTTCTGTTAGGGTTTGGGCATTTGGGACTTTGGGTTATTGGGGTCGTTTTTTGTTTTTGGGGTCATTTTAGGGATGGTGCGGGGTCGTTTTGGAGAAGAGGAGAAGAGGTCGGTTAGCCGGTTAACCCCCGGTTTTCGACCCTGATTAATCGACTAGCCGAACCTCTTCCCTTCTCATCCGGCAACCGACCGACGATAAAAATAATGGTTTTCGGTTAGCCGAAAACCGATCGGTTCGGTTGAAACTGACCCGTTAACTACTAACCGGAAACCGTTCTGTCACCCCTAGCTAGTATTGTGCTTCACTATCATATTGAATTGGGTTGGTTAAAACTTACCACCTTAAAAACTATATGCATAACCTGCTACCTAGCTCCCAGTTTCTATCATTCTTCTTTCAGGAGAAGTAAACCAAAGATAGTTGCATTCTATCATTGCGTCTCTCTCTCTCTCTCTTTCTCATTGCCCTCTAGCTGTGTATATGAGCATGCTCCAGTGAGGCTGTGGAAGAGCGCTAAGGCACTCTCTTAGATAACAACAAAATTAAATTTGATATGGAAACTTCCAGATACGCGCGCCACGGTCCAACAGTAGTAGTAGCCGCCATGATCGTCGCTTCTCTTCTACTCATCATCATCGACCCCCGATTCACACAGCACCGAGTTCCAACTCCCTCGGCACGAGACAGGATCGTCCCTCTCCGACCCTCACTTGTATCTTCTTCTTTTCCGGATCAACCATCCTGCGCCAGCAGGCAACAACTACCGCAATGGAGGAGCTCCTCATCCTCAAACTCAAGCAACAAATCCCCTGCATCTCCTTACCTCCTTTCCAGGATCCGAGACTACGAGCAGCGTCACAAGCGCTGCGATCCCCACTCCGAATCCTTCCTACGAAACTCTCAGGAACTCGTCAGGGTGAACAATTCCCCTGACGCCCTGCTGACAAGAAGCAAAGACCTAGCGCCCGATTGCAGATACATCGTGTGGGTGCCGGTCAACGGACTGGGGAACAGAATGCTGAGCCTGGCCTCGTCTTTCGTCTACGCTCTCCTCACCGATCGAGTCCTCCTCGTCGATTTCGACGATTCCATGTCCGGCCTCTTCTGCGAGCCGTTCCCGGACGACGCGACCTGGCTCCTCCCAGGCGACTTCACTTTCAAGGGCCGGTCCAACGGTGAAAAATTCAGGGGAGTTTACAGCCTGGGGAACCTGTTGGAGAAGAGCGAGAAGAAGCATGACGAGGAAATTGCTGTACAAGCCACCGCGCTCCTCTACCTTTACCTCTCCGGAGACAACAATTACGACATGCTTTTCTACAGAGACGACACTCAGAAGCTCCTGACGAACGTCCCCTGGCTGGTCCTGCGATCGGACCAGCACTTCGTCCCTTACTTCTTCGTGATGCCCGGCTTCAGGGCGGAACTGGACCGACTGTTTCCCGACAAGGAGGCGGTTTTCCAGCACGTGGGGAGATACCTGTTTAGCCCGACGAATCGTGTCTGGGGTCGCGTCGCCAGATTCTACGACACTTACCTGGCGAAGGCAGAGCAGAGGATCGGGCTCCAGGTCAGGGTATTCTACCCTGACAAAACCCCTGCTTCCCTCATGCTGCCGCACATCCTGAGATGCATGCAGGTGGTGTCGGGAATCCTGCCGCGATTACAGCAAAACGAAACCAGTCCTACTTCCTCCGCTACAAGAAGCAGGACTCTGAAAGCGGTTCTTGTGGCATCGCTCCTGGAGGAGTTCTACACGGAACTGAAGGACATGTACTGGATGAGGCCGGCGGCTGACGACGGGGAGGGAGGAGGAGGAGGAGTGGCGGCGGTTGGGGTTTATCAAACGAGCCACGAAGGATGGCAAGAGACTGGCAACGGCGCCCACAATGTGAAGGCGCTTGTGGATATATATCTGCTGAGCATGTGCGACGTGCTTGTGACGAGCCATTTCTCGACGTTTGGGTACGTGGCGCATAGTCTGGCAGGGTTGAGGCCCTGGTATTTGCAGAATCCTGGCGACTACGAGGCGAAGCGGAACGAGCCAGCTTGCGTGCGTGCGGTTTCGCCGGAGCCGTGTTTTCATTTCCATCCTTATTATGATACCAATAGTGCAAATCATGGCGACGCGGCAGGAGGCGGCCCTGCTCCTGTAATTATGAACTGTGAAGATTACGAATGGGGATTCAAGCTTGCGAATCTCAAGTATTGAAGGGCGAATGATGGTGGCTGGCTGGCTGGCTGGTGAACTCATTTCACATTTAATTTGAAATTGTCGCATTTTTAAATTATTAATTCGCAATCTATCAGTTTTCGCGTCCAGTTTCTTTCACTCGTTACATTATAGGTGTCAAAACATAACCCGATCCGATTAATCCGTCCAATTAACCCGATCTGCAATCCGCCCCTTACTCGAATTGACAAAAAGTCAACTGTCCCGCAACTCAATTAACCCAAATTCGATTGACCCGAAACCCGATTAACCCGAACTTGATTGACCCGGATCTGACTAACCTGACCCGACCGACTAATCTAAACTCCACCCAATCCACTTGAATAATTATTATATTATATAATACATAGTTTTTCAAAATGAAAATTTTCATTCTAAAGTTAAATTGATTATTTTTTCAATTCGTATAAGAAATTTTAAAACATTAAACTCACTTGATATTATGTACTTTAATAGAATTACAAAAATTGAAACATGAATGTCGGTTGAACATTAAGTTGTTTAAAAAAAGTAAATACGAAATATAAAATCAACACAATATCAATATTGATATTGAAAATAATAATTGAAATCATGGAAAATATTAATACAAATATTAATATAGATATATATAAATTAAAATTTTGGCTAATTTAAATATTCAACAAAGTTATCAATTAATTATAAATATAGTAAAATAATTTATTTGGTAATTTGTTAATTTTAAAATTAAAGAGAAATTTAGGTGTTTTCAACTTTTTGGGGAGGAGAAAGAAGAGGGAAATTTGGTACTTTGTATTTTTTAGAAAAGAAACAAGGGAGAAGTTTAGTGATTTTGATTTGTGAGAAGAGAAAAAAATAGAAAAGTTTGGTTCTTTTGATTATAAAAAGAGAAATAGAGAGGGAAATTTTGTGTTTTCAACATTTTGAAAAAGGAAGAGAGAAATTTAGTTTTCCCAATTATATGAAAAAGAGAATGAAGGGAAAATTGATTGTTTCTAATTTATGAAAGGAGAAAGAGGGAAATTTTTGTATTTTCTTTCTTTTTTATATGAAAAGTAAGAAGAAAACAAATTTAGTGTTTTCAACTTTCTGGTTTTTCAAAATTTTAGTCTTTAAAATATGAATCTTTAAGTTTTACATGGAGGGCATGAATAATTAACTATATTATGCTCTTATATGAAATGACTATTTGATTATATTAGAATTAAAAATCTATAATAATTTATCTTATCTTCAATATATTATCACTCAAATTATCTCAAATGCATGTTATTTTACATTATAAATCATATACTTAATTACTTATAGATCATATGCTTAATCAAGTTTTTCGTTCTAAACTTAGACAAAACCATGTTTAGAGTATAACAAAGATTCCTCTATGTTTTAAAAATAAAAGCCTGAATTTCACTTATAATTAAATATAGTAGCACAAATCATAAATCGTAATAATATATGGTTATGATATATGGTATATGGTTTAGGATATAGCAAAGAATCCTTTTTAATTTATGTGTTTTAAATCAAAATCCGGATTTCACTTTAAATGAACTATAGTAGCAAATCATAACTTGTAAGACTATGTGGTTAGGGTATAAGGTAAGTGGAAAGATATAAGGTATATGGTTTAGGCTATAACAAATACCCCCTTTCAATCTATGTTTCGAAAATCAAAGTCTGAATTTCACTTTAAATTAACTACAACAACAAAATTGTAACTCATAATGATATATGGTTAGGGTATTATGTAATATGGTTTAGGGTATATGATATATAGTTACGGTATATCGAATATCATTTTTAATCTATGTTCTGAAAATCAAAATATGATTTTCACTTTAAATTAACTATAGTGGCAAAATTAAATCATGACTCATAAGAATATATGATTAGGGTATAAGGTATATGGTTTAGGGTATAGCAAAGATCCATGTTCTGAAAATCAAAGTCTGAATTTCACTTTCAATGAACTATAGTAGCAAATCATAACTCGTAAGACTATATGGTTAGGGTATAAGGTATATGGTTTAGGGTATATCAAATATCCCTTTTTAATCTATGTTTTGAAAATCAAAGTCTGAATTTCACTTTATATTAAAGGCTAATACCACTATAACACCCGAACTATGACAAAAATGCCACTTGTGCCCTATTCTTTTCAATATTCCATTTATGTTATGAACTATGATACTTTGTACTATTTGTATCCTGACGATTTTGTTGACCGATAGAGATAACGGTTGACCAAACGGTGGTCAAATCAAAGTTGACTTTTGTTGACGTGGCAAAAATGTGGCTGCTACGTCATTGACACCTTATATTTTTTAATTCAAATTAAATTAGAATTGAATTAAAATTTAAAAATCTATAAATTCAATTATATTAATAAGCCAAAATTAAAAAATAATTGATTTTAATGGATATTATAAAAATTAAAAAACTAAAATAAGATTTCTTTCCTTCTTCTACGCCCAAACCATTCATCATTCATCGCAAATCCAATCCCTAGCTTCGCCCATCCAAACTCAAGAGGGTCCTGATGTGATGGTGGCGATGTCGAGCTACGATGATAAAAACTGCATAGGCCCTCAGCTACTACTACTCCTCCTTTCATGAGATCCAAAACCCCTGCCTCCATCGAGCGTAAACGGGAACCCAATCGACACAGTGCTCAGATTGGGATGGATTGGAGATAGAGGAGAGTCTCACGACATCGTCGTCGACGTTTTGGGGGGTTTCTGACTTGGGGGATTTTTTAGAGAAACAGAGATGAACCAGTAAAGAAGAACAAAGGGCGATGGAGATGATTCATCGATGATGAATGGAGCTGGTCCTTTACAATTGACAAACAATATAAACCCAGAAATCAATCCTTGGTGTTCGTGAATCGATGGCAAAGGGGAAGAGCCAGGGGTGTATGCGTGAATTGATGGTGAAGGGGAAGAAGCCAAGCAAGCTCCCACCACTCTCTGCACCGTCCATAGATCTGCGCCTGTGGAAATCGGCAGTAACGCCCCTCCCCTATACCGTCGTATGATAGCTTTGTGGGTGATTGGATCGCCAGGTCGGATTGGAGTGGCGACATAGTTGTAGGAGTCTAGTGGTGGCGGAGTGGGAGGAGTGTGGTGGTGGCGGATTTGGTCGTCGGGACGGATTGGAGTGGCGGCGAAGTGGGAGGAGTTTGGTGGTGGCGGATTGGGTCATGACTCAGGACACAAGTGACATTTTTGTCATAGTTCGGATGTTGTAGTGGTATTAGCCCTTAAATTAACTATAGGAGCAAAATTGTAACTCATAATAATATATGGTTAGAGTATTAGGGTATAAGGTATATGGTTAGGGTATACCAAATATCAATTTTTAATATATGTTATGAAAATCAAAATATGATTTTTACTTTAAATTAACTATAGTAGCAATTTAGATTTCTCCCCGACAAGTTCACTAACATTAAGATAAATAAAAACATAAATTTTGAAAATCCCAAATGTATAATTAAAGTTCACTACACCACTTTCCCCCACAAGTTAAGATTTCTCCCCACTTTCCCCTCCCCAATTTAGATTTCCCTCTAAAAATTTCTCCATTTCCTCCTCCCTCAAATTTAGATTTCCTCCACCCCATAATTTTACTTATATATTTTTATGATACACTATATAATATTGTGGTTGGATTAGGACTATTGGATGAAAAAATAAAAAAGTTTACATCACCATAACTATTAGCTAGTGTGCTTTACCGATTTACGATTAATTATATGACAAGTTTGCAAGTCACACAACATGATTCAATTTTTTCTAACTTCAATAAGTACATATAGCATATTACATATACGATGTTGAAAGAAATAGTCTAAAAATTATGATTTCTTTTAAATAGGTAATAAAATGTGCAAATTGCAGTTACGAGTAGGAAGTAAGTAACTAAATGCGCTGATCCAAAAACTCGCAACCCGAACGGCCCGCAACCCGCCCGACCAGCAACCCAATTGACCCGTAAACCGACTAACCCGGAATCTGATTGACCCGTAGCCCGACTGACCCACAACCCGACTAAACCGAACCCGACAAACCCACAATCCAATGAACTTAAAACCCGACTAATCCATAACTCGATTGAACACAACCCAGACCCGCCCGATTGTCACCTCTACGTTCCATATTAATTTGTTACGAGACCTGCTTTTTCGGAATCGAGATTCTACTATAACATCTACTTCTACAAAAGTATAGAAAGATGCTAGTACCTGTCCAAACAATCTGAACTCTCAAGATCAGTAGCCACTTCAACAATCTTTTTTTTTTTCTTCTAAATTAAAAAATTTAGAAGAAAAAAAAAGATTGTTGAAGTGGCTACTGATCTTGAGAGTTCAGATTGTTTGGACAGGTACTAGCATCTTTTGTGGAAATTTGACCATAGACTTATTTGAAAGAAAGGAATGAAGGAATTACAATCAACATCAAGAAAAAATTGAAAGATGACTAGCTTTGTTCCCGACCCGTTGGCCGGGTGCGTATAACATTTTATCTTACCAATTAAGTAATTCCTAGTTGTACTTAACCTATTTTAATTCATTTAGGTTTTTACAATTCATTTTCAAGAATATCTTTGTGGTCTCTTAATATATGGTTATGAATCATAATTAAGTGATTGTTTATTTCTCAACTAAGAAATCGAAATTCAACCAATAATTTTTAGTCTTTAATTTAAAAAATACATACTTCTAAGTTAGACATTTAATTTTTAATCGATGAATATTAATTAGCTCGCGGCTATGTTATCATATGCAAATGTTTATCTCTCTCCAAGGAGAAAAAAGAAGTCTAATGTTATTAATGCAGTATTAGGGATTGACCAAGTGTTGAGAGTTCGGTTGAGAAATTAAACGAATTAGTATAAATGATAAAATGAATTGGCTCTATAACATATTACTCATGAACGATTTTCTGCGTTTCTCCATGAAACACTGAAGGTATATATTATCTCTTCAATTTTCT